TTGTTTATCATATTTTCAACATTTTCAATTTTGCCGATTTTGGGCGTCCCTTAAGAATTCCGTTTTTTTCTTTTTTGGCCCTTTTGTTTGGGATAGCATTTCATTAAAGTATGATAATAAAGATCAACAGGACAAGACGATGTTTACAGAACGAAGCCCCCGACACTATAAGAATCTTACACTTGCTGCCGGCACAGACCGGAATATCTTGATCGAGGGTAACTGTTTACGGCGGTAACGAGGCTCTGGCGGGTAACGAGGCTCTGGCGAGTTTCTGCTTAAATGTTACCCGAGAGCTAGATATCTGCGTCTGTACCGACAGCCGATGATTGATTCTTTTTCTTACATATTACATATTAATTATTCAGAACAACTTAAAACCAATAACAATTGTAACTTTTCCTGTTATTGTTAATAATACCAATGTAATGGAAATGCCACATAATGTACACAACTTATTAAGCATCCTCCCTTAAACTTTACACCAATTATGGAAACTTTGTGACCCAAGCTCTTGAATTGGCAAAATTGATGTCACTTCACATAGTAACTTATATCTTCTTAAGGAGTTCCGCACCCGGAGTCTGGCCTAAAATAATTGAATACTAATTTCTATAAAATAAAGATTGCACCACGCCAAGTTATTTTTGGGGCCTTATCGGAAAATGAGAGACGATTGTGAATTTAACAAATTTTTAGATGTGGCATGAACAATTATTGGGACTTACACAAAATGTATACAACTCAAAATTTGCTAAGGATCACCTTTACGACATTGCGTTTTTCAGTCCTTTTACCATCATATTAAAATCATATTTCCGCTAACGATACACCTGTACAGGGACCTTATAATCGTGTTCTTAAGTTAAAGATTTATAATATACACCTTGCACAATTAGCGCGTGGAACATACCTATGGAAACGTGAACAGGCAGCAAAACTTCTCTCGTTTTATTGTAAAATTGTGTGCGAAATTAACAAACTATGGTTAATCGACAAGTAAGACGTCGTCTAAGTGAAGATAAATGAATAGAGATAGTGGAATGTTGGAGGCTGGCTGTTCACATAGACACGTTTTCCATATCCTTGGGATATTCCAGAGCGTTGGCTCCAGGATGTGGAACCGATTCCAAAAAAGGGCCATGCTGGAGGCCGGGATCGCCACCAGGACCGATAAATTGTCCTTCAGGCCAGGCGCTAACGGTTCTCGAACGCTACGACCTTACGTAACGACTTCCAGAATGCAGCTGGTGTGAGTGTAAGTACACACACTGTTAGAAAAAGGTTGCATGATGCTGGGTTGAGGTTACGGAGGCCAGCAAGACACAACGCCATATTCAAGAGTGTTTGCAATGGGCGCAGACTCATGTCCCACGGACAGTTTAAGATTGAACCCCGGTCCTCTTCACTGATGAGTCAAGGATTTGTGTGAACCTCACGGATAGACGGGCTAGGGTTTGGAGAACAACATGCGTTGCAGAACACGACCGTTATGGCGTGGGTTCAGTCATGGTGTGGTTGTGAATATGCTCTCAGGGGAAAACGGACATACACATCATTGAAAACGGTACACTTACGACAGAAAGGTAAGTCAATGAAATCTTCGACGTCCATGTACTCACGCACGCTGGCGCAGTCGACCCTGATTTCATTTTTATAGATGACAACGCCTGTACACAGAGCTCACATCTCAAGCCGATTTCTTTTGGGGTCAATTATAGTCCGTACAGATTGACCAGCAAGGTCCCCGGATTTAAATCCTATTGAGCATGCTTGGGATATGCTGCAGAAAGCCATTTCTTCACGCCACGTCCAACCAAAACCAGTTTAGAGCTATGACAGGCAATCATAGAAGAATGTGCCCAGATTCCTCCCCAAAAGGTTCGCAAGCTCATCAGCAGGCCGTAATTAATGCCCTTGGACACCATACTCGGTATAAAACACCAAACGCCAACCATTTCCTGATTTGCAAGTTTTTTTTATTCCACTATATGATCTCTTAAATGTTGAGTTTCGTCCTTCATACTCTTTCCGCAAGAGGCACACGCCAAGGAGCACTTCCATTGTCAATATTTTCTTAAAAATCAATTCCTAACTAATCATATTCAATTCTTTTAAGACAATTTTCACATTTATAGCAAATACATAAAAGGAACGCACTGTAGAAAAAGTTATTCTTAGTAAATTTTGAGTAGTATCAAAAGTGTGTAGTTAACGAGAGATAAATAAATATGACAAAATTCTATTTTAAGATGATCTGATTTCGATCCATGAAAATATGTTCATGGAGTTAATTTTATTTGTTTGGACAAATTGAAAGTTACACACAAAGTAACCATGAACTTATTTTTTGTTATCATCTAGTCAGAGGGTTTTATCAAGTAATTGCTGTTTCCTTATTTGACCAATGTTGCTTGAAAACTTTACATTTTGGAATGAATCAATACTAATTATGTTTGTTAGTTAAATTAAGGTGAGCTGTGGCCGTCTGCCTCTCAACCGAGGGATCGTATGTTCTAGCTCTACTCGGGTCATGTTCGTGATTCATCATACGACAGTAGTTGAAGTTACCATTCCTTTAAACAGAATGAACAGGTTAATTCAAACAAAGCCTTCAACATTTTCAATCTTGCCGTTTTGAGAAATCTTTAGGGATTCCGCTTTTTCAATATGATTTTGTCTTCACAGTACAGTAATTATTAACAATAACGCATTAGATTGGACTGTCGTGGAATCACTCACACGACGACATTAATAAATTATTCAAGTATTTGTTTCATTTTTTTTATTTAGAAAAGAAATTAATAATTTTTTTATTACATTTTTGTTATTTTTTTAAGGATTTTAATGAGATCAGTCATAGATTTTAACAGTGCTGTGTTGTCTAAGCCACATACTATTTGAAATGTTATTGGACTTTCCAGGAATTATCGGAGAGATTATTGATGTGCAAATTTCAAGCTATAACTATGCATGGCTGTTTGTTCGATTTAATACAAACTTTGAATAAATAGATACTAATAGAAACAGATCACGTGATAGGTTCACGAGAAACAATTTGTTCGAGTAGATTTAATAGACTGAATGATGATAATTACTTAATTAGTGTTCGATAAATTTTAGATATAATGGCAAATGTAGTTTAATTTTTAGAGATGAGGGAAAATAATGTGAGAAAATGTTTACATGAAAGGACGGTATAATTCTTCTATTTTGAGATAGAAAGTTTTATTTACGTGTATTATTCGTGAATACCTGCACAGGTAAGATATTAATAATGCAGACTAAAAAAATGATGATGATATTAATATCACGAAGTATCAATGATTAAAGTATATACTAAGGAAAAAAATCTGACAAAATATTTCAAACGGTATTTTGTTATAGCTAAATATGTAGGCAACGTGCAAACAGATTCATGTTTTGACACATGATTGATTATCTCGTGGGTTTGTTTTATATCTTTTTGTATTTTGGAGCAATATGGACATTTTGTGTGGAGATTGGTGCATTGGTAAACAGGTCCCTTTCTCTGTCTTATATGTGTAATGTGATAACAATGCTTTGTATCTATATAAATATTAATTATTCCTTTATGTGTCAATATCAGATCTTAATCCTCCGTTTTATTATGTCTTCAATTCGTAAATGCCATAAACTATCTACATACCATTTTACAACGCACTTCTGTGCCATGTAAATTCAAGGAGATGCATTATTTTTTGCGCATGTGTAAAGCATGAAGGACAAAATGACAATAGATTTAATTTAAGATGAAAGTTATTATTTTTGAATCGATGGCCCATAATTAAAGCTTTTATGGGAATGAAAAAAACAAACAAACAAACAAACAAAAAACTACCGTTTCTAACCATTTCATCGCTCTAAATACATAATAAAAATGAGTAAGATCATAACTTTTATAAAAATTGTTTAATTTTAAATAACTATTTTCCGCTCATCACATGGACATCGCTTTTTACCCTACGCATAACGCGTATGCTCAAAATATCTCTCTTGTTGCTATAGAATTATCATTCTATAAAAAGCCTTTTCCACTTGCGTTTTTAGTGAACTGGAGCATGCATTTCTGTATTGTAATGGTATAATTTGTCCTTTCAATTACAAAACCATTTAGGTGATGTTATCCTTTTTTGTTTGCAAACTATGCTCAACCATTCATTTTAATTGAACATTTATTTTCAAAAACTCAAAACCATATTTAGAATATATTGACTTACAGAACTTGTATAAAATTGAGTAAGATCATAACTTTTATAAGAAATTGTTTAATCTTAAATGACTATTTTTCATTGAACGCCGCCTTGCCTTTTCTTAATGATTTTGTTTATCATATTTTCTGCTCAACACATCGACTTCGCTTTTTGCCCTACGCATAACGCACATGCTCAAAACATCTCTCTTGTTGGTATGGAATTATCATCCTATAAAAGCATTTTCCATTTGCGTTTGAAGTGTACTGGAGCATGCATTTCTGTATTGTTATGGTAGAATTTGTCCTTTCAATTACAAAACCATCTAGGTGATGTTTTCCGTTTTTGTTTGCAAACTACACATGTAGGTTCAACTATTCATATAAATTGAACATTTTTTTCCAAAAATCAAAACAACATTGATTAACTGAACTGGTACAATGGTGCAAATTAAGTCTTGTCATATAAAAACAAACTAGAGGTATTTACAAACACTTTTGTCAATTTTTATAAAAGTAATGGGAAACAATAAAGTTTTATTTGTGGTTTTCCTTAATTATATTGCAAACATTTCAAAGAGATCTACGGACAATAAAGCATACTTAAATAATTAAAATTATCAAGTGAAATGTTTAACAAGACCATAAATAGCCATACCGTCAGACGCTTGTGGAAATAGAAGTGGGGCCTAGGTATTTCATATTTCTAATTGATGATAAAATGTTTGTAGTTTGTATTAAATATGTTCATATTGAATCGACGTATCTATTCTTTCTTTTCCAGATATGTGACATCTGATTATAACGTTGAAGTTACTACACTAGAACAAATATTTTGTTACAGCAATCATGATGAACACCAAAATCCTTATCATCAGTACTATGTTTTTTCGGTTGGAATTCATCCTCTGCTCAAATTCAACACAGGTTAGAAGTTTACACGACAGCTTGTTCAAGAACTACAATAGAAAACTGTTTCCTTTGTTAGATCATAATGACACTGTAAAAATTGCTTGTACAGTAGGGATTGTGAGTATCAATAATTTTAATGAATTGTCTGGTGAGATAGAAATAACCATGTTATTTTACATGCAATGGAGTGATGAAAGACTAAGCTGGACACCGTCTGAATTTGGCGGGAAATCGAATCTTCTTATTCCACCGAAAGATGTGTGGCACCCACAGTTGTTTGTACTACAATCTTTTGACAGAATTCAAGAAATTACCAATGTATCAATGCTGATGCGATTGCTTTCAAGCGGTAAAATTATATGGAACCCAGGGAATGTTTTAAAACTAGTTTGCTCGGTTGATGTCACTTACTTTCCCTTTGACACGCAAGATTGTTACGTGACGATTTCAGGATGGGCTTATACAAACGAAGAAGTGTTGTTTTATACAACAGAGAGTATGATAAACAAAGATTTTTTAAGCCAGAATAGTCAATGGATAATATCGTCTGCAACTGTGGAAAATAGAAGTGCTGTCGTCGCCCCAAGCTTTCCACCATCATTAAACATTAGAATTTCATTGAAAAGAAGAAGTGATTTCTTTGTAGTTTACATAATTGTTCCGATGATGTTTTTAAGTTGTATGAATAACCTGGTGTTCATTATGCCTGCGAATTCTGGGGAAAGAACATCTGTGGCTATAACCACATTTTTGTCATTTATTGTTTTTATGCAAATGATAAATTCGACAGTTCCCCAGAGTTCTGACCCAATGGCTTACATTTATTTTTATGTCCTGTTTCTACTGATATATAGCTCAGTTATCCTCTTTCTATGTATTCTTTCATTACGTATTCATGACAGGGATGCTCCCGTTCCGTCGGCAATTGTAAAATTGGTGTACGTTCTTCGTTGCTGGTGGTTGAAACGAAAGAAAATTGCTGTTGTTAAGCCTGAACGGAAAATGTCATCTGTTTCAGAAGAGATTGAGATGAAACATAACAAGATCAATGAAAATACAGAAAAAGAAAATGAAACTCCCTCTGTGACATGGAAAACGGTTGGCAAAACATTCGATTTGTATTGTTTTCTTATTCTGTATTTTATATTTATTGTTATGACAGCCAATACATTCAGCAATTTGTATTATAACCGCAAAGTTTAAACTTAAAACTGCTAAAATGATTTATCGTTATATTATGATGATAATCATTCCTTTGTTACTGTGAATTTACAACTTTGCTTTAAAAATACATGTATTGCACTGGAAATTTTTAAAAAGATATTACTTATCTGCAATTCATGTGTTAAGATTTTAAGGGGATTTTTGTAGTTGTTATCTAAAAGAATTTATGTTTCTATGAAAAGTATCATTAAAAAGAATTGACAGATAATGACGTTATTTGCTAATTAACATCATCTACATTTATTTCATCCGAGTGTAAAAGTGAGTTTCAGGTAAAAGTCGAATTAACTTAACATTTGGTCACAGTTGTTTATATTTAAAACTTTACTTCACACGTTTGTTTTAACAAGTCTAGGTATATTTGTATTTTTTATATATTTTAATGACGAAGAAACAAATAATGATTGGCATTTATTTATTGATTGTCTTAAATACATACTTAATCAAGCCAAGTGCAATTACATTTTCAAACTACATTTTTCTATCTCGTTTATAAAATCCTTTCCTCTTTACCTTTTTAAAAATATTTACTTAAGAGCACGTTATTTGAGTTTGGTCTCATAAAGGATTGTTATTGATGATGCGTGATTAAAAGCCATTCATTATAACTATCTGTTAGAATATTGACTGTTAACAAAACTGTTATTATACTTGAATAAAACAAACATAAAGCCATTATATTGCCTTCGACCGATGTGTCACACTTTTTAAACCATTACTACGAACGACATTTTTATCAATATTACCAGGCATTTTTCTTAGTTACTTCAGCCACTTATGACTACATGCATTCCTTTTTGGCGCCCTGTCAAAATCCAAATCAGATAGAATAAAAACGTAAACACCCAAAATGACATAATTTGAAAATGTTACAGGCTCGGTTTGAGCGAGTCTGTTCATGGGCGGTACTTGAAAGTGCAAGCGACCGTCCACACCCCCTAGCACCGGCTTAAGCAGAATTAAACATTTAAACACGAAAATTGTGAAATTTGAATTTAGAAACAAATAGAATTTAGAAAAAGACGTTCGTTACAGTTTTTATAGTAAAAGAGATTACTAACTCTAAATTTCATAAATGAAATATTGCTAAAACAGATATATTCGAGCAATAGAGTGTGTGTTTTATACATTAACCCCAAAACTAAAGAAGTAACATGTTTTTATAGTAATTTAGAGCATCATTATTTTGGCAGTTATTTAGTGGTCGGATACGGGATCACCAAGTGTCTTTCGGTATTGAATGTGAATGGATATTTAGTTTCATAGAAAATATTTATCTTTAAGCTGAGTATTACAATAATGCAAGCACATGTTTAAGCAAACATTGTTTCATTTTTTAGTTTTATCGTAAATAATCTGCAACACAGTTATTTTAAAAGTACGATACAATAACTAGTTCCGAAATCTAACTTATATACTCCATAAACAGGCTCAATCAAACTGAGCTTGCGACATTGTTAATATAATGAAAGCGTCATTTAAGTTTCCAGTTAGGTCATTATATTTCTATAAGGCCAAGACCAATTAACAATTTATATCTCGGATATCATATGTTAGCTGCTATTGCTACGGATAAGTTTATTCTTATTCTGTCTTTTATAGCGTAGAACAAGATATTCTGTTATTCCTACTAGACATTTAGCTTTGATTTATTGGGAATTCCCAAGCGAAAATTAAAATTTTAAGAAAAAATCTTTAAATTTTTCATTTATATAAAAATAACAATTAAATATATAAATAAATAACATAATTCACAAAAAGGGTGTTTTTTAAAAATAAATTAACATGCTCTAATTAAAGAACTTATTTGAATAAAAATGTTTTTAATGTTTTCTTTTAAATTTATATTTTTAAAAAAATTTAAAAGGTAAAATAAAAAATAAAAACAAAATTTTTTTTTTTGTAAAAAATAAAAAATTTTTTTTTTAAAAATTAAATCTCTGTTCCAAAAATTTAAAAAATTAAAACAGTAATCAAATACAATTTTAAATAAATACCAAATTCATTTTAATTTATAGAAAAAATTTATTTCGGGATTCACACCAGGGGCTCAAGTTCAACACAAGTTGTAAATTTATACGACGGCTTGTTTAAGAACTACATTAGAAAACTTTTCCTCAGTTAGTTAGATCACATTTCCATCATCCAGCGTGAATAGACTCAATCAAACGGTGTCTGCATTTTTCATTTAGTAAGTAACACATTTGATGGACTTTACGTAGAATGACGCTGAAAATAAAGGGGAAAAAAACGTTTTGTCATGTCACCCAAAGATTATACTGATTAATATTTATAATTAAACTCTTAAACCGGTGCTAGGGGGGGCTGGACGTAGCTTGCACTTACCCCACTCCTTTATGAAGGGGCCTTCAATCAAAAATCAATTTCTTAGTTGGAAAAGTATCCGTTTTTCAAGAAAGATTTTAAATGTAGGATATGTGTGAATATTGTTTATGCCATAGCCAGACCTTTACGCAATGCCCAATTTAAAATTCAAACAGAAATCAAGGGGATTAAATAAATTTCCCGATCATTTTAATAATTAAAAGTTTGTAAAATTTAAATTCATTTTCAATATCATTATTCATTCGAATGTCAATATAATTACTTCTATTGTTATTTAAACTTTATAATTATTGTAGGTCCCGAAATCAATGATTTGTTATTATGGATTCTCAAATAGATTATTTTACCGTAATTCCTTATTTTATTGAGTTAAACATGGTCTCCTGAGTTCTTATTTGTTTACGTTTCATCGGTTTACATTGTTACAATATGAACAGCTTCGTTTACATGGTCACCGTGTGAATTGATGATTCTACAAGGAGAAATGAAGTTAGACTGAAATGCTTTAATCAATAATGTGAAAAATATTGTTTTGAAAGAGAAATTTAATTTGTGATCAGATATATATTCCCTAATGATCTATACATTTGATTATAGATCTGAGAACACTAGCAAACTTTGATAGTGATAAACAATAACACAATAACGAATGTGTCCTGTTCAAAACAATTCAATGATATCGCTCTAGTTTATTCCCCTTACACTTAAAAGAACAATTATCACGCATGTGAAATGAAATATGATAACAGATTTTTAGCTTACTTTATTTGTCAATCACACCGAATAATTATTACTAGATTATGCCAGATTTCATTTTACTCTTAATCAACGAGAACAATATAAAATACGTAAGAGTTTGGGTCCTTGACATTTTCCCGTTGCTTTTATTAAAACTACCAAACATTTCATGAAAATAGATTATGACCCATCTATATTGAAACATACTGTATAGTTAGCATTTAACCCTTTTACAGTTGGATACTGTGCTTTAATTACATCTGATGGGCCAAGAGGGAGACTCTATGAGGGGCAGTTCTTAAACCAATTGTGACAGAATAGTTTAGTTTTCGTTTTCTGCATTGATTGGTCGGGCCCGTGTTGGTGATTTTCTTGTTGTGTTGCCTTCCAGCCTAAGAATGTAGTTTTATGGACCTTTGACAAGTTTAAACAACCCAGTTGTGGTTGTCATACTTACCGCTATATGACTGTCGTCTATGTTCTTGTTAATTTCATAAAATTATAATTTGCCACCGTAAGTATTTCCTTCTCTTCTTAATTTTCAATATTTGCCCCCATCAACTTCTTATTCACTACCCATACACCCTTGTCCCTGTAATTCAATATCAGACATTTTGATATATCAATTGCATCTCATATTCTCATTACATTTCTCCCGACTGTTCTAATTTTATTTTTACCCTCTCCTGTTTTATTTGTTGTCCTGGTGTGTGCCTTACAGATAACCTTGTGTAGCGGAGTATTGCCGAGAGATGTGTTTGGTGAATGTCGCTCCCCGGTCTATGTTGCTATGTTCTTTTCTCAATTTCAACTTTAGGTAAAGCCCAAGTATACTTGTTGAAATGTTTCTCTGCCGCTAGAAATAATTGCCATTGTATGAAGGAAGCTTAGAAAATGTAATGCTTATGAAGCAGTTTAACTTCTTACACTGAAATGTTTCTGGGCAGAAAACAATATGTATTTAAAGAATAAAAGCAAAAATACAAACATGCTATTTGGTTCTATTAAAATCAGTATTCACGTTTTACACCATTTGGCAGTATACACAAGACACATTTTGAAATGATATATAAATATATTTGCCGTATATACTATTATAAAAAGAAAATATAAAATGTATGTAAATTTGTAATATCAAACAATATGATTTTTAAAAAATAGAGAAAATATCGGAGCGAGAAACTTTGTCAAAACATTTCATATCAATGCATATAAATGTTTTCAGAAACTAATGTTAAAATACAACTTCACCAATGTATGAATAGTCACTGCAAAATATATTAACAAAAGTAAAACATAACAGTAGATGTCAATTGTCTTTCCAATTACTTTCCAAGTCACTAAAGGAGTAGCATCAACATTATTTTGAACGAACAACTTTTCGTTCGTGCTTTTTACGTCAACTTGCTCAGACAAAATTGAAGCTTTCCGCTCGGATGCTACAGTAGCTTTCTTTCTCTTGAGATACCAATATCGAAAGTAATAAATCATCTTTTCGATGGCCGGAGGAACTGGTGTGTCCTTGTCATAGATACGTAACGAGAATATACACAGAAATAAAATGAGTGAGCTATAAACTAATAGAAAAAGAATATAATAGTATATATAAGCCATAGGTTCTGAACTCTCCGGAACAATCGAATTTATCATTTGCATAAAAACAATAAATGACAAAAATGTTGTTATAGCAACTGATGTCCTCTCTCCAGAATTTGCAGGCATAACAAACACAAGATTATTTATAAGGCCAAGGAACACCAATGGAAATATTATATAGACTACAAAGAAATCACTTCGCCTTTGTAGTTTTAGCATCACAAAAATCGTCGGGGGAAATGATGATATTATATCATAATTGTTCTGTGACGTTGCCGACTGAAGTATCCATTGGCTATTGTCGGAAAAATAATCTTCGCTTACTTTTGCATCATTAACGATAAGTAACACTTCGTCGTTTGTGTAAGACCGACCTGAAACCGTTAATAAGCATGTTTGGGTATCGAAAGGAAAGTACGTCACGTCAACAGAACAAACAATTTTCAAAACATTTCCAATATTCCACATGACGAGGCCATTCGAGAATAATCGTGCCATCAACGATACATTCGTTATTTCTTGGAGTGTGTCATATGATTGTAGAAGATAAAGTTGTGGTCGCCAAATGTCTTCTGAAGCTACTAACAACACCGATTTGCCACCATATTGAGATGGTGTCCATATCAAGTTTTCGTCAATCCATTGAAAATTGAAATACATTGTAAGTTCTATTTCGCCAGACAGCTCATCGAAATTATTTATACTTATGATTCCAATCGTGACATTTATTTCCACTGAATTGTTGTGATTTATCAATGGAAAAAGTTTCCTGTTATAATTCTGGAACAAGTTTGTGTATAAACTTTCAACCTGTGTTATATATGAGCAGTGAATGTATTCATGCAGAAGGAGTAAAATATTTACAATGAAAAGTTTACACTCCGTATTCATCGTGGTCTTCATACTTCTATTTTAATTGACACTTAATCATCGTGTGAATTGTATCAACGACTTTTTGCGCTAAACAAAATGATCACTTGATTACAGAAGAATGGAATATCCGCAGCCGTTGGTCACCTTTCGTGCATTATGATATCTGGTCACTTTCTATGTTTAAGATATACATGTATGCTTTTCAGATGCATGAACGATACTATGAATTGTTTTATAAGTTTGGTAAGCTGACATCAACATCGTTTAAACAAAATGATATACTTTTGTTATAAGAAACACCTTTTTATGTATATTTTCTATTTATAATTTACATTATTGATAAAAGATTTAAGAATCTTGTGTATTTCTGTCAAAATGTTTTCAGTACAAATCCATAAACTTCCCAATTAATCTTAATCCAAACTGTTGTCTCCACAAACGTAATCTAACCATAAGTGCAGCGAAATATTAACATTTAAATATTCAAACTTGCTCTGTTATTTCCCTTCAACAGATAAGATATATAACCGATTTAGTTTCTATCCAATTGCTACCATATTCATTGTTTTCATTGACAATTGTAGTAGAATTATCAAGATATATCCGTTGAAACATTATTTTTTTTAAAGCGGGAGAATGTCTTAAAATGAATAATTTATTCTCCAAATTATGTTCATCTTCCAAACCAAAAGGTCCTGAAAATATCACTTTACAAGTAAATGATACCGTCATCCCAGCAGCACATGGTGTTGAAATGGAAGCAATGATTGGCGAGAGAACTCGGACATAAAGGAATGGACAGTGACAATGAACTATTGATAAGTTAGTATCGGATATTTCAGGTATAGAATCACAATCCAATATTTCGAAAGGACCCAATTAGTGAACAAAAGTGGTGCTTTAAGTGTGTCACTATTTATCGAACAAACATGTATATATATATATATATATATATATATATATATATATATATATATATATATATATATATATATATATATATATATATATATATATATATATCTATGATTAGATTAAATATGACATAAACTATATCAATGCATATCTTATTTAGAAGTGGTTTGTCCATCAATAGCAATAAGTATTCATATGGAAAGAATTGTATTAGACTGAAAACATCTATAAATCGAAATGTTAATGTCACGTAAAGTATCGACCAAATGCAATTGTATATTCTGGTACATCAATTTTGTGCATACATTTAGATAAATTACTTGTTACTTTTATACAAAATATATATCACCCTCAGCTATCATATAAACTGTATTTGTTTGTTGTTTTTTGTTGTAATTTTTGTAGGAATATTTTTTTGTTGTATGAAATAAAACTTCTTTAGGGGAATCATTGATTTTGTAAGTTGGTGGTAGGAGGGGAATCAAATAATATTTTATTTAAGGCTTTAGGACATTTTAGTCTTATTATTTTTGTGTATGTCGGTATTTTAAAATTACAGTTTAAAAGACACATTAAACAATCAAACGCCTGTACAGAGGGATTCAAACCCACAGTGGTGAGGTAAGAGTGGTTTGAAGTCAATGACCACTCGGGCACGGACGCCCTTGTCTTGTCACGGAATCATATTTCCCCGTAAAATTCATGGTCATCGTTCCTCTTAAGTTAAAGCTATAAATTTAAGAAATTAAGTGACTTAGGAAGTTCACGTATATAGTATGTGTAAAGTACTTATTTATTCAAGGCAATTAAAGTTATTTTGCCGTTTTGTTATGATAGCTGATTACTTAAATGATGCATGTCGTTTAGCTCATTTAAATTACTATCTAGAAGAACGCACACGTCAATGAAATATAACTCATCACATCTATTTCAGGACAAATGCATCAATTAATCATACCGACTAGGAGTTTTGTTAAGTCGTGATAATTCATTGAGTCATTATTGAAATCATTTCTAAAATACCGTGCATTTGAACAAAACACAACGGAAATAACAATATTCAGTTAAAGGTACTGTAGAAACAAAATACCGTGCGCATCTAGTAATATTGGAAAATATCAATGGAATACGGTATATCTAGGTGAGAACACTTTATTAGCAATACAGACGCCGGAGAAGTGAGTATATGATTTTTTATTTAATAGTTTTGGTTGTATTTAATATAGTTATATCTTAAATATTAAAGTGAATAAAATATGATAAACAAGATCAACAAGGAAAGGCGGCGTTCCATGAAGTTTGTTAATAATGCTTCTTAATTATGATTTAGTCTTAGCATATTTGATTAAAAACGATATAGATGTGATTTTTTATTTTCTTTAAGTATAAATTTTTACTATTTGAATTCATTTGTTTATTTCCGTTATAAATAAACTTTCATTTGGAAGGTATGCTTGAATTCGTTTTTATTGAAGTATTTCTGTTATCAATGCATACCTTGAACTTAAACATCTTCGACCCAGTTTAACAAAACTGCAACACTAATGTTAATTTAGTCTGCTTTACGCAAAAAAAATATAATTCAATTCATCGTTGAAAGTCAATGCAGACGGAATTATAATATGATAATTGAGGGGTCAATGCTATATAGCGTAAGTTTTACCTTCAAAGATGTATGTTAGATAATCTTAGTCTTAAATTACATTATATGCTTCATTTTTCAGGGTTTTAACTGAATACATTCGAAAATGCAAAAATATTTACACGCTTTATTAGCATTTGTCATACAATCTGACATAATAGCTTCATGCCTTAACACAACAGAGGCAAACAATCTGTATTCAAGTCTGCTTATTGATTACAACAGCAAACTATTGCCCCTCACAAATCAAAGTGAAGCGGCGGAAGTTGGTGTTTTTGTTTATTTACGTAGTATCAACACATTTGATGAACTGTCCGGTGAATTAGCGTTGACATTAATATTCAACTTCACATGGACGGAAGAACGTATGTCATGGTCTCCTGAAGATTATGGCGGGAAAAAATATCTTCTTATAGCACCGGAAGACATATGGCGACCAAAAACATTTGTACGTGAATCGTTTGATAATATACAAGAAATTGGCAAAGTATCTGAAATGTTAAGGATCAACCATGAAGGTATAGTTGTGTGGACAATGGGTTCTGTTACAAAAATCACTTGTCCAGTTGATGTGACATTCTTCCCTTTTGATAGCCAATATTGTTCTATAACTTTAACTTCCTTTACAGTCAGGAGTGAAGATGTAATGTTCCTTTCTTTAAAACCATCTTTTATTACAACCTATTGGACTGAAAACAGTCAGTGGTTATACGTAAATAGCACTGTTTACAACTTAACTGTTCCTCATGGCCCATCTGGAATTAAAATCGACTTCACATTAAAACGGCGAAGTGAATTTTATACAATTTATATAGTAACACCATTAGTGTTTCTTGGAGGGATGAATAATCTGGTGTTTACTATGCCAGCTTCGTCTGGAGAGAGGACATCGGTCGCTATCACAGCGTTCTTATCATTTGCAGTCTACATGCAGATAGTAAACAACAATGTTCCACAAAGTTCATCTCCTATTGCATATATTTATTACTATTTAATGTTTCTTTTATTGTATAGTTCATACATAATGTTTATGTGCATAGTGTCTATGCGAATATATGACAGGAAAGGGAAAATACCGGTCGTTACTAAATATCTTGTATATTGTTTAAGATGTATGTGTTTTAAAAGGATGTGCAAAATTGGAAAAATATGTATTGGTAACGACAAGACGCCCACAAGAGTGATCAATGTAGTAGAAACAGATTTAAGCAATGGTCAAAACACTAATGTTGATTGTGAACGAGTTGAATCTGATAAAGATCAGTTAAAGGAAGGCTCCAAGGAAGATGATGATCTAACTTGGACAAATGTCGGAGAAACATTTGATACCTACTGTTCATGGTTTAATTGTTTGGGGTATTGGACAATTACCGGTTTTACAATAATATGTCTGTATTCAAATGCAGAAATTTTGAAATCATTCCGATAATATCATTTAAAACTAATAACATTTTGATTTTGCCGCGTGTTTAATGACAATTTGATGTATGGTAGTTTAATAGAGAATTTGATAAATTAAAAAAAAATTCTACTATGTTTAGACTAATCAAAAGAAAATTATTTGCTAATATCAAAAAGGCAAATATCATAGTGATCATAGACATATTTTGTTTGATGAATAAGATTAGAGATTATTTATCATTTTACATTTTACATTAAGTTCATCACATGATGATCATTTGCTTTCTGTAAGAAGAAACATTTAAGATTATCTCATAAAATCTGTAAAATAATATTTTTGTCAGTTATATGAAAATTTATTATTATATAAGAAAGATAAATTGAATCCAATTCAATTAAACTTTTTATATGACAATGTTACTTAAGCAATGTATAAATGACCTGTTTGCTGCTGCTGATATAGCATTGCTTGCAACAGTTACCAAGACACAATTCCTAACACAAAGAAACATACTATATAAATTAACAAAACCTAAATTGATACTGTATACAACTGTTGTATTATACATGCACAATCAATTACTATGATAAAAATAAATGGTATAATCAGTTAACATGTTTATCCTACCTACGATAATAAAGTTCAATAGATTATGTTTTCTAAGGAATAACTGTAATAAACTTTCTTAATTAATTAAGGAATTAAAGTGTCATAATTGTTTGTTTATACAATCAAGCTTTAGCCTATAGTAGGGCCGAAACGTCTCGCGGAAAATGGCCGACACGTCCAATGGTCGATTTTTCGATTCGGGCCGATTTAGTTTGGGGCCGAAATATTCTGTTTCCGTATTGGCCTATTGAGCTTAGCCAAAAGATGCATCTAATTAGCTATTATTGGTGGTAACAGACATGCACTTTTTCCTTTTTGTGTTTTTTGTTTTCTTCTCCAGGTTGAAAAAATGTCAATATTAATAATATATTATTATTTCATATTATAAAATGTAAACAATTGATATCATTGACATTTTACTAACCGTAAAGGGGAAACATTTCACAAGGCGTTTCTTTTGATTTCGTAACACTATACATCCCCTTTTTATTTTATTTTTTATTTGTAATTGCAATCTAAATGATCAATGCAGCTGTTACAGAAGTTTTGTTGTTTTTGTTTTTGTTGTTGTTGTGTTTTTTTATTTTTTCGATTTTGAATATAATATTTGAATTATGATTGTTGAATGATTTCATGGTCCGGGTTTAGTTTTTCTCCCTTGTTGGTCTTTATTTTCATATTTAAGTTAAAACGAGATATATCAGTCACGCTAAAAGTTAATGATTTGCAATATTATATTCTAATAAATCAATAGTTCGAATTTGTTTGAACTCTTTTTTTTACTTAAATATATACATTGTACCTGGCATTGGTACTGCGTAATTGAATATGGATTAAATATGTAGAAGGCTAATTAATTATGTATATAGAAGGCTAATTGAGTATGATTTTATTCAAGTAAATGCCAGCAGGTCATAGACCCACGAGGACAACATATTTACAAATAAGCAACATATTAATATAAAATGCATACATGTAAAACAATATCAGCAGTTTTGTACATAATAGATATTTCAATATTTTTTCTGCCATATTCCATCCCATGTAAATATTAACATACAAATACACTCTTTCTGTAATAAATACAACACACAAAATTGTATATATAGGTTGTGCCAGCAATGGAAATAAAAATATAAAATGAACAAAAAGTACTGAATGATATATATCCCTGTGGCTTTGGTCTGTTTTGTCAACCATATTGTCTTGTTGTATGTGACGGTACTAATGTCCCACAATGCAGTAGGCGTATGTCTAGCTATTGCATGTGGTTTTTGGAAATAGTCTCTGTTTTATTATTTTTCTTTTTATCTTTTTTCATTTTTTTTTTCATTTTTATTTTTTTTTGGAGGATGTGACGGGGTTGCGTACTTGGGTGCTCTTTGAGTCTTATATTATTTTTAAGCCTTTTCATACTTATAATATATAAATTTTGAGAAGCTCGTTTGACATGTTTCTATGTTTGAAAAAATTGAACATCCGAAAAGTCATTTTAAATGACTTATTGAATATATTTATTGTCATTAACAGACCATGTGCACGTCAGTATTATTCAATACATTTTCAAAGAACTTTCATTAATGTTATAATTCTTATGGGATATCAATGACATTGTGATATTTGTTCTAACGCCATTCATGCAAGGCATTATTCTTGATCCTATGGTTGATGTAATTTATTGCAAAATGCTTTTATAATGTCATCATAACGTTTTATTGTTCTAGTGGTCTCAGATCTGCATCATCAATAATTTGTAAATTTTAGATTCCAAAAAATATTATTTAACCAGTAACTGTAATTTAACTGAATGTCATAATGTTAATTATGTTCATTTAAAATTCTGTTTACGTTTAATCAATAGGGAATGACGTCTATACATTGTCCCAATATGAAAGCCTGATTCTACCAGAGGGATTAAGTTTTAGCTTTATGATAATTTAAATAATCTAAAATATTGTTTTGAAAAAGAAAATAAATATGTAATCAATATCATATTCCCTAATGATATTCACTTTATTACAGCGCTTAGAATATTAACGAGCTTTGATGGTACAAAATGTTGTAAATGATAACTATTATCCTCTTGTAGAATCAATTCACCCATAGCTCTAGTAATTTAATTGCTTGACATTTTAATAATAACCATTCAATGTAATGTAATAGGAAATATCTGTTATAATCTATTTCAAATCAAATGTTTCAAGAGTTATAAATATGATACATTGAAGTGATTCATTGATGCATGGAAGATTTCAAAATATGACATATTAAGCTAAATTTAAAAACTTAGATAAAACATCACATGTTAATATTCATTATACACAAAGTATAATATATTATAATGAATATATTAATATGTTTTCGTATTGAAGTGAGATGAATGTATGTATGTGAAATTTATGTAAGCACGCCATAAAATGATAATAAATAATAATGATAAAAAAAACGTGATTCATATATATCAATTATTCCCTGAAATATTGCAATAAGATTGACCGCTGACCACAGGAATGCAATTTCAGTTCATTACGACAAGTAAGCAGGACAGGTTAATTAAGACATGCAGTTAACCGTTGAAAAGGAAATACATCTTTCTAAATGCGCAAGCTTAGCTTAGGAAGAAATTGTAACCTTATTTTAACTTTTAAATAAAAAGAACCTTAAAAACATAACAAAAATTAAATGTTTTTCCCATGTTTATTTTTTTCTCTCCATATCTATGTAGGCATTTTTGAACATATGTACATATTTCTTTTGCAAAGAGCTCTAAATCACACAATAATGTTAATTAACAAACCTGAGAACTTTATTGTTTTAAATAAATGATTTCAGCTCTGACATTTAGCTTGACTTTTCCTTCGGGGACAAGATAAATTATAAGGGCATGAGAAAAAAGACATGCCTTATGGGTTTGACGTTGGATACAATTTAGTGTCATTCGTTCGTATCATTATTGTAAATAGTTAAAACATTTTGAGAATCCTCGAGCTTTCCATTTGACAAATTTCTCTTCTCCATTTGCATATTGTTCCTGTGTAAATTTATGTTAACACAAGATTGACGTTGAAAATATTTTATCTGTATACTGGTATAATATATCTTTCTTGTTACATAATTTTCATTTATGAAAACAACACGAAAATGTAATGTCTATGAAACATCTAAACTTCTTAAACACATTATATTAAGCACTATATATTTAAGAAAAAAAAAACAAATACAATCATTTCACATATCTAGTTTTATTTACATCGCTTTTTCACATTTTCATTTTGAAATTTGACGTTTTACACAAGAAACATTTTAAGATATACATTTGTATAAATTTGTTTGCCATAATTATATATTATCATTATTACAAAGAAATGTGAATTTCATTGTTATGTCTTATAATACGCATATAGAGAAATTACCGCATCGAGTAACTGTGTCAGAACATTTCATATCAATGTAAGTAAAAATATTCAGCAACTGTAGTTAAAATACAATTTTACGAATGTGTGAATGGTCACCGCCAAATATGTCATCAACAAAAGAACATAGCAGCAGGAATCAAATGTCTTACCAACCGTTACCCAAGTCATTAAAGGAGAATCCTCATCATTTTGACTGAATGATAACTTTTCGTTCGTGCTTTTAACGTCAACTTGCTCAGACAAAATGGATGCTTTCCTCACAGGTGTTACTTTGTCTTTGTTTCTCTTGAAATACCAACATCGAAAACAATAAATCATCTTTTCTATGGACTGAGGAACTGGTGTGTCCTTGTCATAGATACATAACGAGCATATACATAGAAATAAAATGAGTGAGCTATAAACCAATAGAAAAAGTATATAATAATATATATATAAGCCATAGGTTCTGAACTCTCAGGAACAATCGAATTTATCATTTGCATAAAAACAATAAACGACAAAAATGCTGTTATAGCAACTGATGTCCTCTCTCCAGAATTCGCAGGCATAACAAACACAAGATTATTTATAAGGCCAAAGAACACCATTGGAAATATTATGTACACTACAAATAAATCACTTCGTCTTTTTAGTTTAAGTATCACAAAAATCGTCGGGGGAAATGATGATATTATATCATAATTGTTCTGTGACGTTGCCGACTGAAGTATCCATTGACTATTGTTGGAAAAAGAATCTTCATTTACTTTAGCATTATTGACGATAAGTAACACTTCGTCGTTTGTGTAAGCCCAGCCTGAAACCATTAATACACATGTCAGGGTATCAAAAGGAAAATACGTCACGTCAACAGAACAAACACTTTTCAAAACACTTCCAATATTCCACATGACGAGGCCATTCGACAACAACCGTGCCATCAACGATACATTCGTTATCTCCTGGAGTGTGTCATATGATTGTAGAAGATAAAGTTGTGGTCGCCAAATGTCTTCTGAAGCTACTAACAACACCGACTTGCCACCATATTGAGAAGGTGTCCATATCAAGTTTTCATCAGTCCATTGTAAAGTGAAATACATTGTAAGTTCAATTTCGCCAGACAGCTCATCGAAATTATTTATACTTCTAATACCTACCGTGACATTTATTTCCATTGAATTGTTGTGATTCATCAATGGAAAAAGTTTCTTGTTATAGTTCTGGAACAAGTTTGTGTATTAACCTTCGACCTGTGTCATATTTGAGCAGTGAATGTATTCAAGCTGAAAAGTAAAAAAGTCACGATTAATAGCTTGGAATCCATATTAATTATGTTATCTATTGTTTCAACTGACTTATTGTATCGCCATCGTATAAATGTACAACAAATATATTTCACAATATTTCAAACGACTTTTAAGTTTAAAGAGAATTAAATATTTACAGGTTTCTGTCACATTTGGCGTAGTATGATAAATAATAACCAGATGTACCAAAATATTAAAAACTGATGTAGAACTTGAATACTTCCATGGTCGTCTGATAGACAAACTTTGGTACTTATCTGTTCAAGAAGACGCTAAACTGTAATTTATATCTTCGGGTTCTGGTTCACGTCATTGACAAATGATAAAAGATCTAGATCTATCATGAATATCTTTTCATAGTTACATTGTCACGCTTTCACATGTATTATAATCCGGAAACGCTTTCACAAAATACACGTGTAAAGCAAGGAACGATATATGAAATACTGTATAGTCCGACATTTTATTATGCACAAAACAAGGCATACATTCAGATGTCGACAACTAACAGTTAACTATATTTCCGATTCAGTTCGTATACTACTTTTGTTGTTTTAAAATATTTTCAGAAATAAAAATGACATTGTTATATATATCCTCTGAATTCTTAACTTTTTTTCAAATATGTTTAAGTGAATTGATTAAAAAAGTCCAACTAATTCACGAGGCTTTCAGAATTAAATGTTTTTTCTGGGATACTCAATAGAAGCAATGACTGGCTATGGAATATATAATAATACCTGTTCAAATATTTCAATCACGTGCTACAAAAACAAGAACTGAATTATTGTTAGTCCATCAGTCCAATTGTAATATTGATAAACATTAATAGAAAAGTTTAGATATGGAATCACGATCAATAAACATAATGTTGAGAGCACACATTGAGTGATCATTAGGGACCGTTTTAATGCGTTAATAGGTAGTGTCGCCATGTTCAAAATTGATTTAATTAAGAACCCTTACAAAATCTCACATGTAGACGTTATAAGAGGTTAAAACACGGCAGAGTAGGACCGGTGAAAATTGTTTTGCTAATCAGATAATGGCCCCGTGTTCTTCAGCCCGAGATTCATTATTTATTATTATTTCAATTATTTATTTTAGTTTAAGCTAAACGAAATAGAAATTATAGACATTTTTTTTCAAAAACTTAAATTTTTATGTCGTTAAAAACCCAGAGAACAGACACAGAGTTTTTTTTCCATTTATGGTACGAAAGACTAGTAGAACCAAGTTACAAGTTTGTTTCTATCAAACTGCTATGGATTTTTGTATTTTTATTGGGAGCTGGAGGGGGGATTCTTTGCGTTTCAGTTAAACTGATCAGTGTATCATTACCATAAACCCCGCCTTCGGAGTTCGTCGAATAACATTTGTATATATTAGAAAAACACTCGTCAAATATGATAATCATTATCTTTAAACAGTGAATTTTAGGTGCTAAATATTACACTTTAATGATTAAGCTTGCCTTACATATTGTTTCATGTGTAAAAATTCATAGTCCATTTTTTCATCGCCTGTTGCTAAAAATCTGGTAGTTTTTAGTAAAATTTCTAAATTATTTGCCAATGCGCACGTATTGACCTGATTATTTCTGGTCTTCATACTTGCCATACATTATTACCTAATTATAATGCAAAGTTGTAAACATACAGCCCCGGCTAACAAATCTATACCCGACTTTTTCAAATGTCCTTGAGTTCTTGTGATAATTTTGAAGTTGTCCTAGAATGAATCAATACTAATTATTTTTGTTAGTTAAATTAAGGTGGGCTGTGGCCCTCTGTCTCTCAACCGAGGGATCGTATGTTCTAGCTCTACTCGGGTCACGTTCATGATTCATCATACGACACTAGTTGAGGTTACCATTACTATCAACAGAATGAACAGGTTCATTCAAACAAAGCCTTCAACATTTACAATTTTGCCGGTTTGAGTATTCTTTAGGGAGTCCGCTTTTTCAATTTGATATTGTGTTCACAGTACAGTAATTATTAACAATAATTCATTAGATTGGACTGTCGTGGTATCACCCACATGACGACATCAATGAATTATTCAAGTTTTTTGTTGTTGTTTTTTTTTCATTAAAGAAATTAATTAAACATTGTTTTACATTTTGTTAGTTTCTAAAGGATTTTAATGATATAAATCATAGAATTTAACAGTGCTATGTTGTATAAGCCACAGACTCCTTGAAATGTTATCGGACTTTCCAGAAATTATCGGAGAGATTATTGATGTACAAATTTCAAGCTATCACTATGCATGGCCGTTTGTTCGATTTAATACTGACTTTAAATAAATAGATACTAAGAGAAACAGATCACGTGATAGGTTCACGAGAAACAATTAGTTCGAGTAGATTAAATAGACTGAATGATGATAATTACTTAATTAGTTTTCGATGAATTATAGATATAATGACAAAGAAGTTTAATTTTTGAGATGAGGGATAATAATGTGAAAAAATGTTTATATAAAAGGACAGTTAACTTCTACTATTTTGAGATAGAACGTTTTATTTACGTGTATTATCTGTGAATATATGCACAGGTAAGATATATGAAAATATCAATATCACAGAATATCAATCATTTATATATTCTAAGACAAAAAAATCTGACAAAATATTTTAAACTGTATTTTGTTATAGCTATACATGTAGTTATAATTAGATATACATTGTATGTAGACAATGTGCACATCGCATATATTCAATCAAATTCATGTTTGGACACATGAATGAATTGGTAATCTCGTGGGTTTGATTTATATCTATTTCGTATTTTGGAGCAATATGGAAATTCTGTTTGGAGTTTGGTGCATTCGTAGACAGGTCCCTTTCTCTGTCTGATATGTGTAATTTGATATAAATATATTACTTAACAATGCTTTGTATCAATATAAATATTATTAATCATTTATGTGTCAATATCAGATCTTAATCCTTGGTTTTATTTTGTCTGCCATATCTACATACCATTTTACAACGATCTTCTTTGCCATGTAAATTCAAGGCGATGCATTATTTTTTGCGCATGCGCAATGCACGAAGGACAAAAAGTCAATAGATTTAATTAAAGATGAAAGTTCTTATTTTAGAATCGATCGCCCATAATTGAAGCTTTTATGGGAATGAAAAAAACAAACAAACAAACAAACAAACAAACAGAAAACTACCCTTTCTAACCATTTCATTGCATTATATACATTCTATAAAATTGAGTAAGATCATAACTTTTATAAAAAATTGTTTAATCTAAAATAACTATTCTTCCGCTCATCACATCGACTTCGCTTTTTGCCCTACGCATAACGCACATGCTCAAAATATCTCTCTTGTTGTTATGGAATTATCATCCTATAAAAAGCCTTTTCATTTTGCGTTTGTAGTGTACTGGAGCATGCAATTCTGTGTTGTTATGGTGCAATTTGGCCTTTCAATTACAAAACCATTTAGGTGATGTTATCCTTTTTGTTTGCAAACTATCTTCAACCATTCATATAAATTGAAATATAAACATTTTTTTCCATAACTCAAAACCACATTTAGATTGTATTGATATACTGAACTTGTACAATGGTGCAAATTAAGATTTGTCATATAAAACAAACATTTACAAACACATTTGTCAATTTTAATAACAGTAATGGGAAAGAATAAAGTTTTGTTTGTGAATAGTCCCCCGTGGTTTTCCTTTATTATATTGTAAACATTTCAAAGAGCTCTACGGACAATAACGCATACTTAAATAATTAAAAATGACCATGTGAAATGTTTAACAAGACCATAAATAGCCATACCGTCAGGCGCTTGAGGAAATAGAAGTGTGGTCTGGATATTTCATAATTCTAATTGATGATAAAATGTTTGTAGTTTGTATTAAATGTGTTCATATTGAATCGATGTATCTATTCTTTCTTTTCCAGATATGTGACATCTGATTATAACGTTGAACATATATTTTGTACCAGCAATCATGATGAACACCAAAATCCTAATCGTCAGTATTATGTTTATTCGGTTGGAATTCATCTTCTGCTCAAATTCAACACAGGTTAGAAGTTTACACGACAACTTGTTCAAGAACTACAATAGGAAACTTTTTCCTCTGTTAAATCATAATGACACTGTAAAAATTGCTTGTACAATAGGGATTGTGAGTATCAATAAGTTTGATGAATTGTCTGGTGAGATAGAAATTACCATGTTATTTTACATGCAATGGAGTGATGAAAGACTAAGCTGGACACCGTCTGAATTTGGCGGGAAATCGAATCTTCTTATTCCACCGGAAGATGTGTGGCACCCACAGTTGTTTGTACTACAATCTTTTGACAGAATTCAAGAAATTACCAATGTATCAATGCTGATGCGATTGCTTTCAAGCGGTAAAATTATATGGAACCCAGGGAATGTTTTAAAACTAGTTTGCTCGGTTGATGTCACTTACTTTCCCTTTGACACGCAAGATTGTTACGTGACGATTTCAGGATGGGCGTATACAATCGATGAAGTGTTGTTTTATACAACAGAGAGTATGATAAACAAAGATTTTTTAAGCCAGAATAGTCAATGGATAATATCGTCTGCAACTGCGGATAATAGAAGTGCTGTCGTCGCCCCAAGCTTTCCACCATCATTAAACATTAAAATTTCATTGAAAAGAAGAAGTGATTTCTTTGTAGTTTACATAATTGTTCCGATGGTGTTTTTTAAGTTGTATGAATAACCTGGTGTTCATTATGCCTGCGAATTCTGGGGAAAGAACATCTGTGGCTATAACCACATTTTTGTCATTCATTGTTTTTATGCAAATGATAAATTCGACTGTTCCCAGAGTTCTGACCCAATGGCTTACATTTATTTTTATGTCCTTTTTCTATTGATATACAGCTCAGTTATCCTCTTTCTATGTATACTTTCATTACGTATACATGACAGGGATGCTCCCGTTCCGTCGGCAATTGTAAAATTGGTGTACATTCTTCGTTGCTGGTGGATTAAACGAAAGAAAATTGCTGTTGTTAAGCCTGAACGGAAAATGTCATTTGTTTCAGAAGAGATTGAGATGAAACATAACAAGATCAATGAAAATACAGAAAAAGAAAATGAAACTCCCTCTGTGACATGGAAAACGGTTGGCAAAACATTCGATTTGTATTGTTTCCTAATTCTGTATTTTATATTTATTGTTATGACAGCCAATACATTCAGCAATTTGTATTATAACCGCAAACTTTAAACTGTTAAAATGCTAAAATGATTCATC